TCATGATTCTACCACCCTAAGGACATACATCACAACATATAATGAATACGAATTACACGATGTAGAAAAATGTCTTTTATTGATTATAAACATGATATTACAATAAGTTGATTGGTTTTATGGCACCTATTCTAACAGTTTGATCTTAATAAAAAAACAACATCACGACTTATTACAATTTTCTTAGTGTGAGGATTGAGAAGCTTATAAGCTTTTGATTGATCACTAACACCGAGAAAATGCATTTCTCTCCCTTGTCATCGAGCTTTTTCCTCTTTTGGTCTGAAATATGGGCATAGGCAACACACACAAAAATTTTGAAATGATCTACCATCGGTCTTCATCCGCTCCATGCTTCCTCCGGTGTTATATTTTGAAAAGCAAGAGTGAGACTTCTATTCAAAATATGAGTGTTCTAATTGATTGCTTTAGGCTAGAAATTCTTCGGAATCTTGCTTCTTGTCAATAGGCTTCACACCATATTCAAAATACTGTGATTCTTCCTCTCGCAAACACCATTTTGTTAAGGCATATAAGCTATTGTAGTTTGCCTCTTGATGCCATGTGTCTCACAAAAATTTGCAAAATCATATGAGTGATATTCTCCACCACGATCTGTACAAATAACTTTTATTAGGTTGCTAACTTCTTTCTCAACAAACGCTTTATAGCTTTTAAAGACTACAAATGCTTCAGATCTTTCCTGCAAAAAATAAACCCAAATTTTCCGACTATAATCATCAATGAAGATGATTATGTATCTTTTACCTCGATGAGAAGATGGAGTTATTGGCCCACAAATGGCAGAATGAACAAGCTCCAATGCCTTTTTTGCTCTCTATGATTTTCCTTGCGGAAATTAATTGCGATGTTGTTTGCTAACAACACATTCTTCACAAACTTCAAAAGGAGTTATGATTTGAGGAAGACTAGTCACCATATTTTTTCTACTATAGAGTCTTCAATCCATCAAAGTTTAGGTGACCATAACGAAAGTGCCATAACCATGCCACATCCTTCAATTTTGCTAAGAAGCATGAATAAGTGGTATTGTGGAGATAAAGCGAAAACATCCAATATGTCGTCATATTGACTTGAGCAATTAAGCCCAATTTTGCATCTTGAATTTGGCATACTCCATCTTTGATAGAAATCTCGTATCCCTTCTCTTGAAGCTAACCAATGCTCAGCAAGTTTGTTTTCAAATCTAGAACAAACAAGACATTAGAGATGGGTTGAATAACACTCCCATTGGTTTAGATTGTTACCTTTCCTTTTCCTATTACAGAAACTTTAGAATTGTCTTCCATTTCACATCATCTCAGAAAGATTCATCTAAAGTGGAGAATATAGATTTGTCTCCACACATATAATTGTTGTAGCCCGTGTCTAAATACCACAAGTTATTGTTTGTCTCCTTCTTTGCATGGGAACCATCAACAAAGATATCTTCTTTTGTTTCTGCAAAATTAGACTTCTCTCTATGTCTTTTAGACAAATTAGTTCAACATTCCAACTTATAATGGCCATAATTGTGGCATCTGTAACACTCAACATTGGATTTGTCTGTTGGCTTCGGTCTATAAGTGGTTGATGGTGGCCTCCTCGTCCTTTGCCTCTTCCTCTTCCTTGAGAATCATGAAATCTATTATCTTGCTGTTGGTGTGGTTGAAAATTTGCATGATCTTTATTTCCTCTACCCTTACCTTTTCCTCTATTTGATGTTGGAGAATGGTTGTCAGTTGAGACCTTCAACACTTGCTCTTCTTTCTCCTATCGGTTAATTTTTTGCTCATGTACTTGCGATGAACATTGTAATTCAAAAATTAAAAGCTTTTCAATATCTTTGGATTCTTCTGTAGCACAAACAACAAAATTGAATTTTGTTGTCATGGATCATATAATCTTCTCAACAACGGTGACATCTTCCGTGTTGTTGCCATGGATTCACATCTTATTAACGATTGCCATCATCCTTGAAAAGTGATTTGTCACAGAATCTCCAGATTTCATTCGAAGCATTTCAAACTCTGAACAAAGTGCTTCAAGTTGCTGCCTCTTCGCCCTTACTGATCCTTGGTACTTCTTTTTCATATAATCCCAAATCTGCTTGGAGGTGTCCTTGCAAAGAATTGTTTCCAAGATTGAGTGATCAATAGCTTGGAAAAGAAAATTCTTTGCCTTCAAATTCTTCAGCTTAAGTGCTTCTAACTCTGTCATCTCCGTCAACATCATACCGTCTATTGGTTTGCTACTCCAGAATCAACAACCTGCCCAATACTCTTTGGATCTCAAGAAGTTTTCCAACAGCATGCTTTAATGGTTATAGTGGCCATCGAAACAAATGATTGGTTGCACAAAAGTTTCAGATGCCATTGTTCTCTTTTACGGTTGGCAAGCAAAGCAAGAAAAGCTCTAGTTCTTCTTCCTTTTTGTGTTATTCATTTCTCTATATTTAAATATTCTATCATTTGTAACATTGGAATCAGAGCAAGGTAAAGGGAGAGTGTGTAAAAAAAAAAGAAAGTAAAGTTGAGACTTGAGAGTGCCAATAAAAAACAGAGTTCGTGAGATAGAGTGATATAGAAGTAGTATGTTTTCTATTTCACTATTTATATAGAGCTAAAAGAAGGGACGTAGCCCCGTAGAGAGTTGTGGGTTCAATTGGACCCACTCAGATTTTAAAAAATTCAAAAAAGTATTAATGTTTTATGAATTTTATAATTTTAACCTCATTTAACTTTATGTTGACCTCACAAAAATGAATCATTAATTAATATTTTTTTAATTTTTCTCTTTTCTTCATTTCCTTTCATTTTCTCTCATGTTATTTTTTTTCTTTTGGTTGGATATTCAAGAAAGTCTACTTCTTTGGATTACAAGGTAAGATAATGCTCATTTTATTTTTATTTTTATTTTTTACTTAGAATTCTTTTCTTTTAGCTTTCTTAATTGATGAAAGATCATGAGCTATGGGTTTTTGTTGAATTTAATAAATGAGTTTGAAATTGGAAGATTAAATTCCTAGATTTTGATGTGGGTTTTGATTTAATCTTGTTTATGCTGAGATATTGGTTAATTAGTTATTGTTTTAAGTTGGGTTTGATAAATTTTAGTTAGTTATTGAGTTAATTTTGAATGGTTTAAAGAATTGATGAAACCCTAAATTGTAGAGATTTGGGGATTTGGTTTAATTTTGATATATTGGTTAATTGCATGATATTTAGAGTTTGATTTAATGAGTTTATGAGTTGAATTTTATTGGATTAATAGAAATTGTTTGAAAAGCCTAACTTATGAGTTGAATTTTGATCAATTAAGTTGTCATTGTCGTTTACATTGAGGAATTGGAAGGTTTTACAGGTAGTCCGTGTTACTTCTTGAAATATAAGTTGTTTTTTTTTTTTTTTTTTAATTGTAATTGCAAATAAATTATATTTCTGATAATTTGGTATGTATAACTTTTAAAAATGTATTTTTTATGTTTATTACTTTAATATATATTTTATTATAAATTTATTAACTTTGATGTTTTAAGCCCACTGACTAAGAATCCTGACTAAAAACAACAGCTAATTCCAAAAAATTAGGAACCACATAATCAAAGCTAAAGACTAGGTAAGTAAACTAATCAACCCATTCCTATAGACTAAGTTACTACACAGACTAGTAAACAACACAGTAACAAAAAAGATTTATTCAACACAAAGATCTTTTCAACAGCTGGAAATTGGAGGGCTTTTTTAGCTCACGAGAAGAGTCTGAAGACTCCCTTTTCTTCATCCTCACCATACAATAATATTATTAACTTATGCACGCATGGAGCACGAGCCAGTGAGCAATCGGTATAAATTTCAGTGTAATTATGTGTAGGAATATATAGTTCGAAATATAAATTATATAGTCCGAAGATTGGATTCTATAGAGTGGGTAACATACTTGTAAAAATACATATAAAAGATAGAGTACGATTCGTCTAGATAAGATAAATTATCCTATAGAATAGGTTTAGGGTTGGTGAATAAAAAAATATTGTATATATATTTATTAATAATCACAATCCTCGTGATAATTCAATAATTGAGCACTTAGGGTGATTAGGGGTGTTCAAAAGTAGTTAACCGAACCGGTTAACCGCTTTCTTGAACCGAACCGGTTTTTTCTTCCTAAACTGAAACCGAACTGATTTGGGAGGGAAAATCGGTTTTTCGGTTAACTGAAAACCGGTTAACCGCTTTGAAAAAACTGGTTTTCCCCTTTTTATTGGATAAAACTTTTTTTTTTAATTTTTTCTAAATTAAATTATAAACATCAACAATAAATATCCAAATAAAAATTAAACATTCATACATATCCATTGACCACAACTAACAATGCATTAAAAATTGATACAAATAAAAGTCTAAAATTAAACAAAAATAAAAGTCCGTAATGAAATGTTCATAATAAAATAACTAAATAAGTTCTAATGGAAAACAACAAAAGAAATTATGCAAATTTAGAAATTAAGATTTTTTTTTATTTAATATATATATAAACTGGTCTAAAAAATCGGTTTTGGTTAACCGGTTTTTATTTTACCCAAACCGAAAACTGAACCTAAAATCTAATTTTTTGAATTCTTTGAACTGTAATCAAACTGTTTTTCTAGTTGACTGATTTTTCAGCTCGAGTCGGTTTTTACATTTTTTTTGAATACCCCTAAAGGCGACAACATGAAGGCCTGTCAGCGGGTCTGTAGTATTTTCAAGCTAACAATTAAATCTAAAACTTACTTTAAATCAAATAATTAACAATAGATTTTCATAAACGGAGAATGGTTATAACCATTGGACTGCCTCCCAAATAAAGTAAAGAGTAATCAGTGGCTGACAAGGTGGGATAATTACATTACTGAATTTGTTAATAGCTTAGCCGTAAAAATTTCAATACTAAAAAAGCAAGAGGAAAAGAGGAAAAGAGAAAAAGATATTACAGTATATGCAAATGTGATCTAAACTTCACAGTAAGTAATTAAACACAGTAGTTCGTACCTGAAAGCAAAACAAACAATTTGCATTATTATTTCCCAAATAAAAAGGAGCAAACAGAGGACCAATAAACACAAAAAGAACTTTGCTTAAACACACTTTAAATAAGTAACAAACCCCAAATAGAAAAAAATAAATAAATAAATAATCCACTTATCTAAACATTTATACTAATGACTCCAAAAGGTTGATGTTTTTAATCGGATACACACAAGTGATTTGGCCATTTCTGTTGAAAATCCTGGCCCTTGGATCAAATCAACCTCCTCCCCATCATGAAGTTTCCAATCAAAACACTGGACCAACGATCCAACGGCTGCATGTATCACCAACATGGCAAGTGATGCATCAGCCCACCCTCTTCGCCCACTCCCAAATGGAAAGTAACGAAAATTTTGACCTTAAATTCCATTTAGTGCTCACCAATTTTCTCAGAGCTCTCCAAAAACCTCTCGGGCATAAAATCATCAGGATTAGCCCACGAATCAGGGTCCCTCATGATGATATATACATTAATCACAACTCGATCCTTGGACTTCACAGTGTAGCCATTGACCTTGCAATCTCCAGCGCATTCTCTGATTATCAATGGCGTTGAAGGGTGAAGTCTGAGTGTTTCCCTAATGACCGCTCGGAGGTATGGGAGATTTGGGATGTCTGATTCTTTTACCGGCCTGTTTGTTCCCACTACTGAATTGATCTCGTTTCTCTGTTTCTTCAAGGCTTTTGGATGGTAATGAGTTCTCCCATGGCCCATCGCTTGGCCGCTGATGACGTGTCTGTCCCCGCCATGAATATGTCCTGGTTTAACAAGCAGCTTGTTCAATCAGTGAATACAGTATAATTAATAAGTAGTTTATAATATGCTTCTTTATGATATTTCTAAAGATTCCTCTAGATATGGTCTTGTCTCATCTGATAATTTAAGCTTCGTAAATACTTTTAACTAAAAAGCTCCAATAATTCTTGCTATTTTCATGGGCATAATTATTTAAAGGGATTAAAACGTGTAATAGGGTAACAAATAAGAGGAACTGCCATTGCTCCCGAAAATCCAGACCCAACAATTATATCAATCTTTTCACCGCCCTTCACTTTCCAGTCAAAGCACTGGACTAATGCTCCAATCGTTGCATGCATCACTGAATGAGCATGTGCAGCACCTGAACATCCTCTTCTTCCACCACCATATGGAAGGTAACGAAAATCTTGACCCTTCATTTCCATCTCATTATGTTCATCAATTTTGTTCTCACTCAAAAAAATCTCTCTGGTAAATATTCGTCTGGATCATTCCACGAATTCGGGTCCCGCATGATGGCATATAAACTTACTAGGGTTTTAGTCTTAGCCTTAACGTCGAAACCTTTAATCTTGCAATCTGTGATGCATTCTCTGAACACTATGGGTGCCGGAGGGTGAAGTCTCAAGGATTCTTTAACGATTGCTTGCAAATAAGGAAGTTTTTGAACGTCCGATTCTTTGACTAGCCTGCTAAACCCCACGACCGATTCAATTTCATCTCTTAGCTTCTTGAATACTTCAGGACGGTTGATGAGCTCTGCCATGATCCATTGTATGGCAGCTGTCGTAGTATCGACGCTTGCCATAAATAGTTCCTATCATGCATGTCAATTAAAAGAAATTTAGAAATATTGCTTATAAGAAGTGAATTAACAGTACAACAAGAAAAATGTTGTTTTTCGACTAGATTTACTAAAATATTGGACTTTTCATTACATACGGAGTGTCTTCCGACTCAATCAATTATCGTCATCATTTAATCATCTCATCAACATATCCGACGTTGTTTCATTATTTCATTTTATCTAAGCCTACATAGTAGGTCTCCAGTCTCCACCAACAACAATTTGGCATTGGAATTGTAATACATATCTTACACCGACGCCACATTTTATAGCTTCATCAGTTACTTCAATTTAATGCAGTGTAACCAATTAATGGTAATTAATTCAATTAACATAGATATCAAACTTTCTTATTTATTGTGCAAGCGAGTTAGCATTAGAAAATAAAGTAAAATAATCTTAACATATAGTTAAATTTTCATTTAATTCATTGGGTAAAGATATAGAAACTAAATTAAAATGACCTGCAGCAATTAAGAAATCACCATGAAGAAATACTTTATATTATTTTTCGCTAACTTCACTTCAGCATTTGTGTCTCTGTAAGTCTCCAACACTACATCCATCAGATCTCTATCTTCATTAGTTTCTTCACCGTTCTTTAGATTGTCTTCATAGTCCTTCATTATCTCCTCCAAAAATACATCATAACGGCAAATTGCTTCTCTAATCTTTTTCCCATTTCCAAAGAGATCGATATTTTTGAGAAAACCAAAGACTTCATTCGCACCAAACTTGGCAGCAAGCTCCATAATCTCCAGAATCAACATCCTCATCCTCTTAGCTTCACCACCATTGCCCGAAAATTTCTTGCTCATAGTCATTCTGAATGTCAAATTGTTCATCAGGTCGGCTACCTCAACCCCCAAATTGCAGGCCTCTCCTTGGTCACAACCCTTCATCAATGATTTTAACAACTTTTCCAATTCTTGCTCTCGCATATGATTGAATCTATCAAGCTGGGCTCCTGCAAAAAGTTTCGTCGCGCACGGTTTTTTCATAAATCGACAATAAGGGCCATAAGGGGCAGTGATAAAACCAAAGCCTTTGTATATGTTGCATTGGCAAGGACCAGACTCATACTTAGAGGAAAAGTTGATGTCATGGGTTTTCAAGATTTCATTGGCAACATCGGCGTTGGAAACCACGACATATGTGATTGCACCTATCAAGGTCATTTGTGACCCTAGGCAAAAGTTATTTTGGGAGTCTTCTACTAATATAAGCATATATTAAAAAAATTATTTCAAATTTATTTTTCTTGCCTTTTGAAATGCAAAATCACTAGGAGAGGTGAACGACGATTGATGGGCTAACAGGGTCAGGTTGGTGGGGGGTTTTGGAGAGCAGATGCTGGAGAAGCGATGGGTGGTGAAATGGGTGATTTCCAATGCCAGGATTGACCGGAAAAGACTTGAGAAGTCACTGCCATAAAGGTATCGGTGGTTGGCGATTGGCAGAGTAAACGGATAGGTATGATAGGGGTTCTGGGGTTTCGGTGAGAAGGCAGAGGGGAGGAAGATGGTGGTGTTGGGGAAGGCCAACGATGTCAAGTACATGCCGAAAAGGCCGGAAATGGCTGCCATATGCGATGGAACTAGGTTGCGAGATTTGTAAAAAATGACCAAATCGAGGGCTATCAAGGCTGGAAAAACACTTGGAAAACAATAAAGTAATGGTTCTGATCGATTTTGGTGAAAAAATTCGACCGAAATCAGCTCCAAATGGCCAGCGGCGGAAGAGGGGTGGAGATGATTTATGTGAATGTTAAATTTTGGGATTGAATTGGGGGTGAGTAATTTGAGATATGTAAATTACCATTTTAGCCTTTCATTGTTAAAAGAAATTTAATGTGTTAATTTAGGGGTGTAAATTAAAATATATGAAACTAGAGGTACAAACTTGTCATTTCATCAAACTTTGGGTAGGAATTTATGTAAAAAGTTAATAATAAATTTGGGCCTTTTTGGTTTTTTTTTAGACCCCTTGGATTGGCCTAGATAAAAAATTATATACTTTTTTTATTTTTGTACTATATTAAAAAAAATTATAAAAAATTTGGCTATTTTCGACCTTATTTTTTGGGAGCCCTAGGCAGGTGCCTCACCTGCCTACCCCTTGAGCCGGCCTTGGCACCTATACGTATTTGCATCAGGGGGCCATAACGGCCAGCTAGTGTTTGGAGGCACTTTGGCAATTGGGTGCTTAATAGATGAAGGTGATCGATGATTGGTAGAGCTGGTGGGCTTTGGGCTTGGTGGAAAACGGATTTTGGCTTGAGAATTTGTGAATGTTTTGATGAGCCAACGCACAATCAGTAATGAAAATATCGAAATCAAGACCAAAATGCAATTGAAGAACATGACGTTAAAACTTGAGGCCATTGGGCAAATGAGAATTTCAAACTAACATGTATAATGAGAATCTTTTAGGAATTTTGTGAATATTTCATAAGTTATGAATTGACCATCGTTATCCCATATTTTAAGAAAGACGTCACATGGGCAATGGATAAATTTAAGGATTACCCTAACCCTAAGAGAAAACTAGCATAATTTGCTGCTGTACTTGTGATGTATATAACTAATTCATTGGTTAATTTATTAGTACTATTGACTAGGAAGCTTCCCGAGGACATGATCCATGGAGTGATGGAGATGCTCTAGTAACATGCACAAATTGGATTAAGTACAATAGATTTGAGTTAATAAATGTCTTTAAGAGCTGGAGTTGCTGGTAAATACGGAATAGATCCTATTAGAAAAAAGTCTTCACCCATACAACTTACACAATCTCATTAATGTCCTTGATTTGCTCCTCTATATACTGTAGTTGTATATATCCATTGATTATAGAACCAATTAAATTAATTGTATATAAACATGCATTACTAAGATAGAATATACACTGTTGATGCGTGATTTTGACACCAACCAAACGTACGTGTGAAATACTGAACAGGCCCAGAAGACACACGTGAATGTGAAAATGAGAGTAAATGCAATGAAAAACAGCGTTTAAAGTGGTTCGGATGCTAAGGAAGCGAATCCTACGTCCACTGATTCTTGTATTAATGATAAAGGTCAGGTCGCGTTAGTGAACTGACTTACAAATGATTGTACAAGAGAGAGAATGTTACATATTTTTGGGAGAGAGTAGCTAATTCCATAAATGAGAGAAGAGCTTTCAATTTATAGTGGGATGGATTAAGGTTATCATTACTAAAGCTGCGAGTTGGCGGGATTATCCGTGAAAATCCTTCTTTATGCCACATTACCCACCTTCTAAAGTGATTTACGCGATTTAGTGCAGGGATTAGACACGTGGAGTCACTACAGCTTCTAGCAGGTCTGGCGCGCACCTATTTTACTGACAGGAGTGTGCTGCCCTTGTCACCACGTGATGTGGCTGCTTCTAACTGGCTGCAAGCCTACCTAAGCTCTGACTTTTTATGGTGACTGAGTCTTGCGTCAGCCCTATATTTTCAGGCATAACAGAAGTCCCCTAGTTTTTAAGGTTTGAGAATCGAACCTTGAAAACTATAAATGCCTCGATCTAATGTGTTTGAAAAGATGTTGGTCGATCCGACCTGATTGTAAAGGAGATCGAGAGGACATCTTTCCATAAGAGACCTAGGATGACCCGCGACCTCAGGGTTAGCGACCTGGTCGTGGTCACCCAGTGCTAGTGATGATCCCGTCCTGAGGAATTCCCGACCTGTCCCCACTTGGCAACTTTTTAAGATATGGCTATCCTGCTTCATGGTCAGTAATATTGCTTCGCGATTGACATGAGAGGAGGTCGAACAATAACGTCGTTTCGCAACTAATAAGAAGTCTGAAGAGTCACGTCACCTCGCGATTGACGAAAAGTTCGAAGTCGCGTCGCTTCGCAACTGATGATGAAGAGTGTTTCTGGTAATGATCTCTTCAGATATCCGTTGCACCTTTTGCAGCGGGTGCATTAAATGAAATGCTCCTTGCTCTGACAGACGTGTCTTATGTGCAATAAGTGCCAACTATGCACATTAAATGCAAGCCATGTTGAAACGACATTCCTTATCAGAGCAATAAATGCAGCTATGGGCACATTAAATGTGGAGGAAAAATGTGCCGTCGCTTGAGCGTTTCAACGGAAAGGGGGTGACGATCTGGTTTCTTGAGGCGTGACGGTCACTCTTCCTCATTGATTCGTGACATATGGTCGCAATCAACGGTCAGATGCGTTTATCGCCCAAACGTCGTTTGATTTCAGGAAACCAAAGCGTCATTTCCTTCACTATAAAAACCCCAAGCTCCCTTCAGGCAAAGCCATAGTATTTTCATTCTCAGAGAGCAAGAAACTTTTGCTAGTTTTGGTTCTTTGCCTTTCAGAGTGGCGTTCGCTTGATATTTGAAACAAAAGAGTCAATCTTTCTCATTCCTAGAGGTAAAGATGATTCTCTTCTTTTATCTTCAATGTTTTTTGCTTTCAACAGTTACTATGCGATAACTGTTCGTCGGTAGCCCATCGGGGATGAAATATTCTCCGTGGGTTGGGGCCATTGGTGGTGGCTCTTTTAAGTATTTTATTAGGGTTTTTCTGGGTTTAGAGAGGAAAAACTTTCTTCCACGTCATCGTACGAAAATGTACGAATACTGAATGGTACCCTTTTGTCACCTTTGCAGATTGCAAAATGGACCCCCCAATGAACAAGGCCGATGAAGGAGCTAGCTCGCCCGTAGAGGATGCCCTTATGGGCCCCACTAGAGAGATTTACTCGGCGCTTACCGCCGACGAGCTGCAAAGGGTGGTTAATCAGTTCGCTGTCAGTGTAGATGTTTTTTGCGATAGGGTGCATACTGCCCGGGATCCGCCACGTGGGATGGCCGCGATCCCAGAAGATATCTTCAAGGGTGGGGGGTTGATCCCTTTCTACCCTTTCACTAGATCAGTCCTTGATCACTTCGGGATCGCACCGATGCAGCTCACCCCGAACGCATACATGATCGCCATTACCATGTACATCGCATGTCGGGAGAACCGATTGGGCCAGCTAACCGCGGTTGAGTCGGTTGCTCGTACATCTTAAAAAAGAGCAAGGACAAGGATTCTTGGTACTTATCCACGCGAAATTCAATACAAGCGAGGGTACATAGCTATCAGAGCAATGAGGGAGCATACGACACAAAATTTTTCTTTTTTAGTTATGACAGCATCAACCGCTTTCGGGATCCGAGTAGGTTCTCTTTCCTTTTGAACTCGCTCGGTTTTCGTTCTTCGCTAACGAGCTATTTGTTTCCTTGACAGTTAATAGAATGACCAGTTTGAACTTGCTCGCGGACCCGGACAGAATTGTTTCATTCGGTTTTCTACCCAGGGAAAGTCGAGATGCGAGGTTGCTTGTGTCAATTGAGAATTTACGAAGGTACGGCTTCTTCAACGAGTACGCAGCCTTAGAGCCCCTATCGAGTAAGCTTTTAGACTGTCCTTTATAATTTTTCCTACAGCTAACTGTTTTTACTAACGATGTTCGCATGCAGAGACCATGCCTCCTCGGGTGTCCAAGTCGCCACGATCAAGACAATTCTCTTTCCCTAAAAGCCATACCGCCGGGCCAACTAGAGCTGCTCCCAGCGGTCCCCCTGCTGAAGGGGCACAGACGGGTGCTCCAATTCGATCTGGAGAGCTTCTCCTTCCTCGGCTACTCGCCAGAAGCAGAAGACTACGGCTTCGAGGCTTAAGAAGAGGCGACAAATTCGGACCAAGGAAACGGAGTCAGAAGAGGAAGGCTTAGGCATTCAGCCAGAGAGGTCACAGCCTTACCGAGCATTCAACTCGGGAGGGCCACTTAGAGGCGCGACTGACATTTCCACCAGCCAGCTGACGCGACCTGCGGTCGCAGTCCCCGGGAGGAGGCCAGGCAAAGAGCTCGCGAGACAGGCTTCACCTGTCGAGGGCGTCAGAACGCCTGTGCTAGACTCGATGGCCCAGCTCCCAGACCATTTATAGTCAGTGGTCCTAACATTGTTGGAATGCGGACTTGCGGAGTCATTCGAGCAATTCCTGGCCTCCAGTCCTGCCGAACTACTGTCCACATCGTTCCAACTTTTTAGCCAAGTAAACGAGCTGTCCTAAACAAGGACCTTTGTTCGCTTTTTTGAGGGAAGTAGACTAACTCTTTACCTTTGTCATGCAGGATTTGGTTTCCCTGCACATGTCTCAGCAGAAGGCCCAGTTGGGGTCTGTCGAGAAATTGGTTGAGCTACGGGAGGAGAATACGCGGCTTATGCAAGAGCTGGAGGCTGCACGAGCAGACAGAGACTCGTCCATCGCTTAGGCGGACTAGTACATGTCTAAAAGGGATGATGTTCGCCGCACAATGGACTTTCAGAAGATCGAGTTGGACAAACGCGGCGAGGAGGTGAAGGAGCTCCAGCGGACCGTGGCCAGACTTTCCAAGGAGGCTGGTGAGAAGGATCAAGCATTGTAAAATACCTCCGAACGAGCCGTGCGAGCTGAGCAGGAAAGGGGCAACATGTGGGAAGCTACTGAAAAGCAGCGAACAGAGCTCGGGGCTGCGCTCCATTTCGCACAGGGTCGGATTGCCTCGCTGACTGCAAAAATGCAATAGCAGGAAGCGAAGATGGAGAACAGAGTTGCAGACTAGACGATCAGGTCCATCTTTGCTCTTCAGGCGAAGAACGCTGAGATGGATCTGTTCGATCTCCCTAAAGAGTATCGAGACGAACTGGCTATTCTGGCACAAGCCGAGGCTGAGGAAATGGCTTAGGGACCTAATCTAGGAAAACATCCTAAGTACGTTCCAGAGGCGGTTGTACCTGAAAAGGAAGTTGGCGACCAGCCTGGGGATGTAGAGGTCGCGCCCGGGGATGAGGATCAGTGATCCGCCTTTGTAGCCTTCGCCCTGCTTGATTATGTACTCTTTTTCACAAATGAATAAAGATCGCTTTTGATAATTTTTTCATGAGTACTTATAATTTTTGGTACCCTCAATTACATATGAGATCTCATAGTAGCTTTATAATTACACTAGAATAAGTTTATGCGAACATAATTATACATTTTATGCAAACAGAATTGTACATGTAAAGCGATTACAAGAGAATTGGATTACATCCGTTATTTACAAAGGTTATAAAATAAAAGCTTTACAAGGAAAAATGAGTTCGGAATTACTGATAATAAGGTCGAAGGTGTTCAGCATTCCAAGCTCGTGGTACTATGGAACCATTTAGCCGTTTTGGGTGGTAAGTCCCCGGTCTTATCACCTTGGCGATGCTGTATGGGCTCTCCTAGTTCGGTCCTAAAACTCCCGCACTTGGTTCTTGAGTACCGAGAAGAACTTCCTTCAATACAACGTTGCCGACCTGGAAATCTCTTC